CACGGCAGGAGTTTGCTTGCTGCCGCGAGTCAGTCATAGGCGTTGCCTCCTGAGTATGTGGCTGGCACATGCATTTCCTGTGCCATGGCAGAGGAAATGCATCATCCATCACATAAGGTACAAATTACGCACCGTTTAGAGGATTCATTATGCATAAGATTTCTCTTAGATAGGCTCAAATAGGAAGTATCTCCAGCTTTATTATTTTACTAATTGGACGTAGATGAATTGGCCTATAGAGTGATAAAATTAATGTGTAAAGTGTGTGCAAATTGTCTCGCCAAGTGGTAATGTACGTTAGGTTGCTTAACTCGAGTTGCATTATTACCTACTCTCCCACAACACGGATCCTTGATGTAGAGGAATATACATTCAGAGGTTGCCGTCATAGATATCCATGCGCTGTCAGAGTCATACAAATAGCAACTGGTTCTTTTCTCCATCTTGTACACACGGTCTAGCCTAAGCTCGACTTCTATAATACTGCACGAGTCGTTAAAATATTCAAGCACAGAGCGTTATAACACACAATTCGTAAATCTTGCCCTGCACTGGTTTTATCTCGGCAAGTAGTCTCTTAACTTGAAGTCTACCTTCTTCTTGTCAATCCCAGAGATCACATGCCTGCCGTTTCCATGATATCGCCCTTGAAAGGAAAGGTTGCTTTGGAGGTCTAAGGGTGGAAGCAGCTTCACAATAACCAAGCTACTTAGTCCTCCCTAAGACGTGATCTTAAAATTATCTCTGGAGTAAAAGTAAGACTCGTTGCCTTCGCTCCCCTTGAGCTTCGAGTTAACCAGACCGTTCTCTTCAATGTCGTCCTGTTCCAGATCATCCAGGTCGAGCTCGACCTCTTCCTCGCCTGTAGAAGCGGCCCGATTCTTTGACAACATCACCCATCGAGGCTTCTCCAGGTATGCGGTCTCGGTGGACCTGTGCTTGAACAGCTTGAAAGAGATTTTCTGATAGCGGATAGCCCAGACCTTCTCACCCCGAGCATGGAAGTAGACAGAATCACTATGGCTTCTGCTATGATCGGCTCCAACTCCTACATCTAACGCCGCACCAAGGCCCAAGATATCGGCTCCACCGCTCGCGATAGTGCTGACCGGGACTTCCAAAATTTTCAGAGAGGTGTAGCGCAGAGGACGACTTGGCCTTAAAGGTTGCATTTGACACGGTCCGACACCCGACCACCAAGTAACTCTTTGCGCCCTCTCTAACGCCGTCCTCTAGCCATTGCCGGACCTCGGATGATTTGCAGAGTTGGATGAAGACTTTCCTGGGTTGTCTGAGCTCGATGCTTCGGGATCGGGCCGATGACAGTTGCACGCTCTCTTCGTTGCCAATCGTGCTTGATGTCCTCAAAAGTTTGGTGAGGTTGGATCGAAATGCGCCCTCACTGGAATTTGCCAACAGTACGCCAAAATTGTCGTTTTCATCGATGTACACATCGGTACTTTCCGGTGGGAGATTGCCAGCGAAGGCGTTGGTTTGTGGAGAGAGAAGTTCGGAGACGAGTCCACCAGGGCGAATTTCCTCGATGGGGACAAGAGAGTTAAGAAGCACAAACCTTGACTTCATCTTGACAAGGTTCTTACGACGTGCAATATGATACTAAGTTATGAGTCCGTTGACGAATTTCGTGGTGCTGAGTGGAAGTTGACGCTTTTCTTCGTAAGGTTCTCCTCACTCCATTCACGGCCGCGTCCAGAAGCGAGTGGGGGCCAAGAGTCAATGATTGATGTGCGCGACGACATGTTTCCCCGAACACGCAGTACAAGACCCGAGCTTCTACGATTAATCGACCGAAGACGTCCAGATTTCTTGTATTAGACAACCTTCAACCTGAAATTCTCCTGCCTGGCAATCTGTTTGGCATCTGGCCGCTTCCCAGATCAGACCCTTTCCCGCCCACTCTGAAGCCATGGCCAAACAAGTCAATGGCGGTGAGAATTTATTGGCGTTAAGTCCTGATGATCAAGCATTTGAATTTGCCCTTAGATACCAGGACATCAGTGGCCAATATGAGCAGAATGGCGATCCGGCCGACCTAGATGAGGCAATCAAGCAAATTGAACAAGCGGTTGATATTGGGAAGGGCCATGTTCACACGGCAGGATATCTCAACAACCTTGGGCGAATTCTTCGCCTAAGGTTCGAAAGGACATTCCAAGATGAGGACATCAGGAGGGCCGTCGATGCTTCTCGGCGTTGTCTCGCTGTGATGATCCCACAATCAACGCACAAACCACTGTTCCTGGCCAACGTAAGTGACACCCTCGCCGTTCGCTTCTTCCAGAAAGGCCTGTATGGAGACTTAGAAGAATCCCTTCAGCTAGCACGCGATGCAGTTGAGGCTTCATCTGCCATCGGCCAGTATCGTGGGCCTGCCCTTGAGGCCCTAGCGAGCAGGCTTAACGAATTACACCTTTATGACGGAGGCATTCAAAGCCTCTCGGATGCAATCAGCATTGGGAGGACACTAGTGGATGAAATCACTGAAGATGAGACGGCCCATGCCGTCTATTTGAACAATCATGCTTGTGGCCTTTCATCGAGACACAGCATGCTTAACCACATTGAAGATCTTGAGGCAGCCATTTGGCACACTCAAAAAGCTATTGAAAAATTACCAGCGGGTCACATAATGCGCGTTCGAATCTCAGCCAACCTCAATCGTTACTTGCACAGACGGGCCCTGCAGACTAAGTCACTGGCAGACCTTGACCAGGGCATCGACGGAAATGAAAAGCTTCTTAGGGACATTCCCTTCGACCACCCCCAACGTCCGATAATCATGATCTCTTTGGCTTCCGCACTTCGAGATAGGTACAGACAAACGGGGTCACTCGAACATTTTAATCGAGCCATTTCTCTGGTGGAGCAAGCGACTGCTATCAAGCAGATGCTGCCCAACTTCCGAGCTACAGCTCTACTGATCCAGAGTGAACTCTTGGAGATTAGGAATGAGCCAGGAGATCTTGCTACCGCCCTAACGCTCAACCGTAAGGCCTTAAAGATTCCTGTCGGATGTCTTATGGATCGTATTAATATTCTTGTTGGCCTGAGCAATCGGCTAGGAACCGTCTTCTCTTCGACTGGTCTTCTATCCGACATCGAAGAAGCTATTAGCTTGGCCCAAGAAGCCGTGGATTTGGTCCCTCCAAGCCATCCTGGGAGACCAGGCTGGCTACATAACATCGCACAGCATTTACGATCGAAGGCAGAAGTTGCAGAGCCGGCCGAGTGTCTTGGTAAGGCGATTGACCTAGAAAGACAGGCTATTGGATCCGTTGGCATAGACCATGTCGACCTCCACTTCTTGTTGGGCGGTTTAAGCTCGTGTCTTTCCGCAAGGTATCGCATGACTGGTACCACTGGTGACCTCGAGGAAGCGATTCATGCTGGACGAGGTGCTGTAGCCGCCACCAAGAAGGGGAGCACGGATCACCTAGCTTACCTGAACAATCTGTGCAATCGTCTCGTCACACGATATGACGAATCGAAAAACCCAGCTGACATAGAGGACGCGATTGCAGCCATATCTGAGGCCCTCACAGTGTCTCCAAACGATGCAGTCTATGTATCGACACTTGGAAATGCCTTGTTCAGACGATATGAAGTAGCAGGAGACAAGAAAGATCTTGATGAGTCCATTTGCTATGCTAAAAAGGCCATTCAGCTGCACCCAAGGACCGACGTTCGTGGTATTGGTTGTCTTCACAATCTTGGACTCCGTCTGGCATTCAAATTCACTTTATCATCGAAAAAAGACTTCGAAGCGTTAGAGTCTGCACTCAGGATCGCCCAGGAGTGTGTCGACGCAACTCCAACTGGTCATCCGGCACTGTCGGGTTACCTTTACCAGCTGGGTCTCTGCCTCACCCATCAAGTTCAGAGAGACATTTCGATAGACAGACTGGAAGAGGCGGTTAGAGCCTATGATATGGCGTTGTCCGCTTTTCAAAGATCATTTAGTGCAGCTGGCGCAACTCCACGAGCTCGGATTAGGGCCGGAAAAGCCCTTGCCGCCGGGCTTCTGGGGAACAAAAATTGGGCAGAAGCATACCAGGTCTTGAAGGTAACGGTCGAACTATTTCAAAAGGTCAGCTCACGTTCATTGGCGGGTGAGGATCAGCAACGTATGCTAAGCGGATTTTCCGGTATCTCCGCGTGGGCTGCCAGCGCTGCGTTGTACGCGGGGCTGGGACCTGCGCCTGCACTTGAGACCCTCGAAGCTGGTCGCGGGATCATCTCGAGCCTTGCTATGAATGCCAGGAACGATGTCACAGATCTGGCCTCGGTACATCCAGGGCTGGCTTCCGAGTATGAGCAGGCTCGGGCTGCTATTGCTTCTGCAGGGTTGAACAGTGAAGATATAGGTGAAGCCGGGCTGAAGGCTCATATGTGCGACCTAGCGAAGTTGCAACAGCAAAAGGTAGCGAGACTCGAGCAGGTGGAGGCAGACATCCGATTGCTGGAAGGCTTTGAGAGGTTCCAGCTCCCACCTACATCCGGACACTTGGTGGACTTGGCCAAGCATGGACCTCTTGTGTGTTTCAACGTCACCTGCTATCGCAGTGATGCTTTCATGGTCACCTCGTATGGCATACAATCGATCAACTTGCCAGACTTACAGCTTGCGACCCTTGAGGCGAATGTCCAACGTATCATGGGACCGGACAGACTGTCGAAATCGAGTATTCTGGAGAGATCGAAGAGTAACAAAGACATGCGACTGATACTTTGTTGGCTTTGGGAGGTGGCTGTCCAACCAGTCCTGCACAAGCTCGAGCTCCTAGCGCCTGATGGCGTCTCCCAATTACCCAGATTGTGGTGGGTGACTAGCGGATACATGGGCCTGATGCCTCTTCATGCTGCGGGAGATTATGAGAAAGAGAATTCCAAGGATTGTACAGCCCATTACGTCGTTTCGTCTTATATTTCGAATTTCAAGGCTCTGGTATACGCACGAAACCGGGAAGGCAAAGGGCGACACCTGGATACGAAGCACCTGTTGGTTGTCTCCATGCCAACGACGCCGGATGTTAGGTGGAAGCCGCTGAACGTGGCAGGGGAGATTGCTGCCATCGAGCGAAGTCATCGAGGTACGCAGAGAACGCAAATAGAACTTACTCTTCCCTCTGCACGTGATGTTTTGGAAAGGCTCAGAAGCCATAACATTGTCCATTTTGCATGTCACGGCGACCCAGACGCTGAGAACCCTTCGGAGAGCTCGTTGATTCTTTGCAGAGACCCAGGAGCCATCGACCGTTTGACGGTAAAACAGGTCTCTGAAATCACCAATACTGAGGCGCAATTGGCCTACCTCTCGGCCTGTTCTACGGCCCAACATTACTCGTCCGGTCTGATGGATGAGGCCATTCACATGGCCAGTGCCTTTCAGCTCATCGGTTACCCGTCCGTCGTTGGTACTCTTTGGGAGGCTGATGATTCCGCCTCGGCGAAGGTCGCAGAAGCTTTCTACGAGCAACTCGCGATTGTTGGAGATCATGTCAAGACTTCTGACATAGCAGCTCGAGCGTTGCATTTTGCAACGTTGACGATTAGGGATCGTAGGAGAGGCAGAGTCCGGCGCCCAGATCATGATGCGATTGGATGGGCACCCTTCATACACATCGGCGCTTGACCCTGTATCCTAAGGCCTTGATCCGGTGTGTCTAGAATCAAGGTCAACCGGGTAATGACGTCCAGGGGCATAATTTCCATGCGCTTGTTGTGCTATCAAGGATTATCAACATGTTGTCAACCCCACAGACGTTCTCTTCGAATCTCTTCGCCAAACACAGCCCACCAGCTTACTCCAGGGACCTCCAATCTATCGCGGCGACGGGAAGATGCGGTAACGAGAAAGTATCTTGACGGTCGACACATGAATCAGAAACGGTACTACACGTGCCGGCTGTGCCCATAATACGAATTCCTAGGTTGAAAACGTCGTGGTACGGCTCCTGTTGTGGCGGCCGGGTAGAGCTCGAGTGACCACTTCAGGCTTCAAGGTGATGATTGTCGCGGGCACTTTTCATGAACATCACCAATTAAGTGCAGGCAAGACCGAGATTTTGAACACTTGTTTGTAGGTCATAACCTATAAACAAAGAGCAGGCATATCTAACGCGTCTACCGCAAATCTCCATCGGCTCTGCTCCACAATTTATCCCACTGCTTGTGGAAGTCCTCGGTTACTCCGATCAAGCCCGAAGCCATTTCCCACCAACGACAGCCGTCTTCTCGCTATCTTGGCCCGAAGGCCCCTTCGTCAAGACATGCAAGAGCCAATCGAAAGTAGATAGTGAGGCGTCAGAATTAAACGATCCCCGGAAGAATTTCGTCAGACACGCAGGTGAACAACCTTGGTACGCCCGCGTTGGAGCAGTCTCATCAAACCTTGCTGATCAGTCTCGCTCACGTCAGTCTGCCATACATTATTTCGCTTTAATCACGGCAGGTATTGTACCTACCGCTCCGCCCAAACTCCACGCCTGGTCTGTTATCTTATCTGGAAAGGCGGCCTGTAATTTCGAAATGCCGGCCGTATTATTTTCATTGTGTTTCTAGGTCAGATTTGAGGATGGCCGAAGCGCCATTGCTAGCATGGACCTGTTCGCGCTCCTCATGTTTATTGCCGCCGACAAGTCTTCGCTGGTGCAATGTTGGAATTCGTAAGTAGTACCAATAATGACCGCTCTGGTGCGGCGCACTCAGCTTCAAACATGTTAAGAATTAGCTTTCGCTAGCGTACTAACTTAGTTTACAAAGTCCCCGCATGTGGCAAAGCATTTCCCTCTTGAGAATCCTGCAGGCTATGCTCAAAAGTTGGGCTGCGCATATGTGTATAGACATTCAATCATGTAAAGTGAATACTAAGCTGAGATGGCAGATATCAGTTGTCTGTTGGGCCTTATCGCTAACGTCCTGCTGCACGACCCTTCGACTACCCTACCTCTCACATACGGTAATACTTATCTTTACGGCAACACCGGCAATTGGATCGATTATTAGAGACAAGAGTTACATTGGAGCACAAAATCACCAGCAGGTTGGTTTGCATTGAGGCGGGTAGGGGGGCCTATGATTGGGATGTAAGACATCATCAGCGGCAAAGATGGCGGCCAAGATGACGGCATAGCAGGCAGGAGGGGGATGGGACGTCTGCGAGCGAAGAGGCAAGAGGTGGAGAGAGAGAGAGAGAGAGAGAGAGAGAGAGAGAGAGAGAGAGAGAGAGAGAGATAACAGAGAAGAGTAGACGAGGGAGTAGATTGAGGAGCAAGAGATCTTTTACGAATCCCAATCGGCCAGGGCTAAACTGGAAGGGGCAACACACCGGCAGCGATTCTGTTGCGTACATATAAAGCTTCAGAAATAAGTATACATCATCCCCTTGCCGGCATCATTGAAAACTACCTTGGTTTCTAAGATAGTGTGCTTTACAGTGCCACCACACCACTTGAAAAGGCATGGTTGTTAGAGGCGTGGATGCTGAGATGTCATGCGCCAAAAATGGATTTCGGTTTGACGTCTCCCCTGGCCCCTTTGATGCAGTTTCGATGTACAGCCAACTTCCCACTTCAAAGCAGAGCCCGATCAAGCAGTCTTCGATAGGCTGATAACAGAATTATTTGGACTTATCTTGCCTGTTCGAAGGCCCATTAGGGCCGAAAGCTGGCTCGTTCTGATCGTTGAATTTGGGGCTAGATGCCCTCAAATCTTCAAATCCCAAAAGACTTGTAAATTGAGAGGGTTGGGGAGTAAATATTTAGGGCACGTTTTCGGATTGAAGATCCATCCATAAGTGACTGAATCAGTGAATGAGTGAATAAGGTCGCGTAATTGAATCACGCTACTGACTCTAACTATCCCCTCCGTACCAGCACAAGGGTGTAGAATGTGCCAATTAGCGTCGTCGAATCTTCTTTATTTGAGGTTGCCACAACTTCTGCCCAAGCAGCTTGTTAGAGTAGAGTTGCAAAGAGAAAGATCCTCTGAAATGAAAGCTTTATAGCGCTGGCAGAATGATTTCTTTCTTTCTCTATTGTTATCAAGTACTGATTGAATGAGCAGCTGTGGACAACCTTATTTGAGCCTAAAGTGTCATGCGCCTGCCGGGCGGCTGCCGTGCGGCTAAAAGGCGCCAAATAAACGTAGATAGAATCAACACACTTCTACCACACAACTTCTGCGTCTTTTCTGCGCCTTTTCTTCGTCTTTTTCGTTAGGCCGCGGTCGTCTAACATAAAGCTATTGCTCCAGCCAGTACGAAGGGGATAGGGTGTCGGCGAGGACATTAGAGATGTGCAGGTGGTTCTGCCGGGGGGGAAGGCGGAACTGGAGAGGGTTGGAGGGTGGATTATGTACGGAAATGTTGAATTCTAGCTATAGGTTCGGATCCTACTGAATAATATATAGGGACCCAGCGACCTAAAGCCTCTATTGTCGATACGGATGCCTTTCCCAATAATGTGCATTTCAAAAAAGATCCAGAGAAATGGTTACAGAGAAATGGTTACAGAGAAATGGTTACAGAGAAATGGTTACAGAGAAAAGAAATGGTTACAGTGGTTACAGAGAAATGGTTACAGGCCTTTTTGACAATTCCTACACTCTCAGATTTCATTTACAGGTTTTGCACCAGATTCCAAATCGAGCTGTTCCTGAATCCGTGATGGTGGTTTTTAAAGTCGGACCGAGGGCTACCCTCTGACAGATCCAAATACCTAATAAACGAGTCTTACTTTTAGCTTGTCGTCCTTCACAATCTCATCTTTCTTGGCCATGAGTTCGGGTAGATCCCATGTGCAATTAATGTATCTACCCCCAAGCCAATCCCGCTTTTCCGACGTGAGGTATACAATCGAGTCAGCGCTCAATTCAGGGGTCTCGACAAAAACTGCGTTGAGAAACAGTCAGCGTCGAGTCCTTTGCGGGAAAGGACCCATGTATCAGACATACCAGGCTTGAGATGATCTGCGACTCCCTCAGGACCGCCCATGATATCTGTGGGACTGTTTCCAGGGTGGATGCAAAACGACACCACCCCCTGCGCGGAATATTCAGCGTAGATCAGTTGAGATAGTCTTAACAGTCCTAGCTTTGACACCTGGTATGCGCTCAGCGTTGGGTTGACTAGATGCGCTCCAACACTCGTCACATTAACAATAAACTTGTCCTGGCCTTTGAGCAGGATGGGCAGAAAAGCACGAGTCACCAAGTATGGCCCGCGGACATTGACGTCGAGGACCTGCCACCACTCCTCTGGGTTTGAGTCGGCGATTAATCCATGTTTACCAAGGATGCCCGCATTATTCACGAGAATGTCCAGCTTCCCAAATTCTTTCTCAACTTCTGCCGCTGCCATCTCAATGCTTCGTTCCTCGGTGACATCGAGCTTGATTGGTAAAAACTTGGGGGCGCTTCGATTGGCAGATACTGCGGCAGCCTCGACGTCTTTAGCGAGCTGAGACATATCGGAGCGAGCTCCAACAGCGATGTATGATGCGCCAGCCTTTGCGAATGATAGAGCCATAGCGCGACCCAAACCCTTTGACCCCCCCGTGATAAAGACAGCCTTGCCTGCGAAACTGACATTGGCAGGATGGATTGCCGGATAGGTGTCATTGTGAATGGTGGACGTTACCTCGTAGTCACCTGGCGCTATGCGTCAGCAGCTGCGTATAGACATGACTACATATGAGGCACTGACCGGGTCCTTCAAGAATGTTTGGCGTTCCTTTCGGGGGAGGCATTGTGTCGGTTGGAGCTGCAGCGAGGAAAGAAATTCAAATGATCCCGATATAGGAAATGTAGAACTCTCTAGAAAACATTCAATGGCCGAAGGCGTCGCTATGTCCAATATGTGCAGTCACCTTCTCAAAGCGAGTGCAGGCTTAAATTTCGGGAATCATAGATGACACATCTTGTTAACTGTGGGGGAGCGGGAATCTACCGTGATTGAATCCTAATCACCCAATCCGGGTAGATACTCCTAGAGTCATCAATGAGAAGGCCATCATGCCCTGCTGTTCTTTCTCGCATGGGGCGTGCTGTAGGTAAGACCTGCCCTAACGGATTCTGGCAGAGAGTTTGATAAGGGAACGGGAAATGGTACTGCGCCGTCATGTACGGACAACAGTTTCAGTGGATCAGAGCACATTATTCCACCAGAGATTGCTTCTTATGTCCGGCTGCTTTTCTATTTGCGAAGGCGAAGTGAGCACAGACCCTGGCACAGCATTTTCGAGGGCTCTTTTTTAAGAATCGCCGAAATGCGGCATCTACGTAGTAATGTATTTCGGAATTTCCTTTTCCTTTCCGGAGTTTTATCACGGGACTACTCGGGTGATTGTTTCTCCGAAAGAAGAATAAAGCACTCCAGCCTTCGATAATTAGGTGCCTGAACTAGCGTTGGCTTGCATTTTAGGCGGTTGAAGGATCGTGGATAGTTGCTCCACACGTTATATACAGTATCTAGGTTGTCAATGCGTAAAATGGGTGTTGCAATTTGCGTAATTCCGCCGTTATCACCAAGCACTGCGAATCTATTAGGAGGATACTAGTTTTCCTTCGCCAAGGTGATGGGAAGATGTCAATCAAACCACAGTCAGAATTCGACGACAAGAAGCTCCAGATGCAGTGGGCGCATCGCCAACTTCGGACTTTGTAGCTGAGATGTGGGATGGAATCGGTTTGAGGCCCTGGAAGATTTCCCACAACCCTGATACCGGAGTTTATTGGCATCGGGACAACATGCTGCTGACTGAGTGACCAGAGATATGTGCTTAAAGGGTGTGGTACCTTGTTCCTGTCATGCAAGGTCCCTCTCCCTATTAATTAGCCTGGGTCTTTGGGCTCCGGGTTACCCTCGCGGCTGAAACCACCTCGCTCCAAGACTGGCACGGTGAAATGTTCAGCCTGCTATCATTGAAGGGTTGGGATATGAATAACATCATGGATGATCCAACAACATAGGGTATCTTCATGCAAGACAAGCTTGAATACGAAATATCCGTTGGCGTTCATAGCAAGACTCAGCTGTGGCAGCCTGAGCGGTGAGCACAGGATCCCATCATTTTCATTTATTGTATGGACTTACGTCGCTGATGACGATCCTGTTATCGGTGAGTTGACAGGCATTCTAACCTCAACGAGCCATTCCTCGTGGATGGCAGCGGCTGGGAAACAGAAAAGGAGTGGGCCTCCTTGCCCCACAACAGCTTAGTTAATGAACAGGACCGTTTGACTATCTTCCGTTACTCCACAAGGCGAGACGAAGATACTGATATTTGTTGGATGTTACTTTCTGGCTTGCCACACAAGCTTGTTTCGCGGTGAATTCAACTTTCACAGTCTCATCAAACTAGATTTGGTCCTCCCTGCAGTAACGCGCCGTGCCATTGATTCCTCTGCTTCCTACACATACTGTGCAGCCAATACCACGGTCTGTTTCTTATCTAACACGGCGTACCAAATTCTTCTATCTGTGTAACACAGCTCATGTTTTGGTGATATTGCACTTGATGAGGCTCTTCTGAAGATCAATCTCTCTTCCAGTCACTCTCCTATAGTCATCTTTCTCAATCTGCTTTTCGCTTCGTCTTCATTGCCATCTAGAATTCTCTCACTGAGCTAGAAAATTCACCGGGACTCTATACGGAGTCCCTCTTCAATTCAGCCTTGATCCCCGACTATGACGATCACGAACCTGCTAGAAACAGAAGACCGAACGCTGCACCTGCCCCGACTACTATGTCTCCATGGTGGTGGCAGCAACGCTCGAATCTTCCGCGCCCAATGCCGAGTTCTCCGAGCGCAACTCCGATGCCATTTCCGGCTCTGCTTCGCCGAGGCACCCTTCCCCTCTCAACCCGGTCCAGACGTGTTATCAGTCTATGGCGAGTGGGGTCCTTTCCGTCGCTGGCTACGTTCCGGACCAGAGCATCCCCTAATCGCCCCGGAAGCGGCAGTTGGCATGATCGAGAAATCCTTGCACGCTGCCATGAGAGAAGACGACCGCCAGGGAGCCACGGGCGAATGGGTAGGGCTTCTGGGTTTTAGCCAGGGCGCCAAGATGTGCGCAAGCCTGCTCTTCCGCCAGCAGGTGCGCACAGAGAAGCTGGGCAAGCAGGGAACGGGCTCGAATTTTCGCTTTGCAGTTCTGCTGGCGGGGCGGGGACCTTTGGTTTCGCTTGATCCGGACCTGGTCATGAACCCTGCGCTGGTGGATGCGTCGCAGATCGGATTGGCTAATTTTCCCGACCAGAAGTGTCTGGAAAGGAGAGAGCATTTGCTACGACTACCGACAATCCATGTCCATGGCTTGCAGGATCAGGGTCTGGAGCTTCACAGACAATTTTTCGCTAGGTACTGTGAGGGAGGTCGAGGTGCGAGACTGGTTGAGTGGGACGGCAACCACAGAGTGCCAATCAAGACCAAGGATGTTGCTGCCATTGTGCAGCAGATCTTCATTGTCGCAAAGGAGAAGGGAGTCTTGAAGATGTAAAAATAAACTCCTCCATGAGCCGATATAGATTTTAGTAGTGATAATTAGAGATGCATACACATCGTCACATACATAGCGATCAAGGCCTGAATTGCTAGCAAGTGCTGACTGTTGCTAATGTCACCATGTCATACTAAGATGATAGCAAAAGGAAAATAGTTAGAAGTTTCCAACCCACTTCTCCCTATGCTCTTAGGTAGTGTCTCTCTTCCCAGACTGCTGGAAGCAGTGTCGCACACCGTGTAATAAAACTTTATCCTTGATCAAAGATTTTACTTAGCGATACAATTGATTCTGATCAGTGCCCAGTGTGTTTACCATAAGATGGGACGCGAGTTTTGCGTAGACATAATATCTATGTGTACATTCTGACTTTGCGTCATTGAGTGCGAGCTACCCAACGCCCATCTAGGATACCATGCAACTGACGCCGTCTATCTACTTTTACCACGTTTGTTCTGTGGTTGTTTTGCACATCAGAGGATTATAGCTGGGGAACGTATTTGCTGAAGGAGCGAATCTTCGCTCCATAGAAATAAAAAAGGATAGGGATGGGGACGAACAGAACCGCAAAGATGCCGAGGAAGCTTGAAGCCCAGAACACCTATCCGAAAAGTCTCATCAGCGGGCTTCCACTTGTATCAAATAGCAGAGAGAGAGAACATACCCCAAACCGTTGATACATAGGGACGGCGAATAAAGGAAAGCCACCGCCAATCAAAGAGCGCACGATGACGGTGCCTGAAATGGCCGAATTGGCGTTGGTGGTATAAATATCAATAAGATATGCTAATGACTGCAGCAGAACGACCTGTACTCCAATCCCAATGGGCACACCGGCAATGATCTGCGGCCACGGGTTCATGGTGGGGGAGGACGCCCAAGCAAACCAAAACAAGCCAACTGCAAGCAGACAAGCACCGACGATCATCGGAGGGAGACGGTCCTCAGGTACCACTTGGCCATTTTGGACCAACTTCTGCCTCATGATTGTTAACGTATAATAGACAACAGACACGGAGCCAATGATGATGCCAATGATAATAGCAATGAAAGGCAGTGCTCCGACAACCGGATCAAAACCTCTCTGCTGGACGAAACTGATCGGATAGGCCTTTGAGCGTCAGCGTTGAGAGAGGAAGGCAGGAGGATGTTTGAGTAATGCTCACCACAAACAGTAGATAGACCATGCCAAATGTGAATGAGATATACAACGTCATCAAAAGCAGTATAGGCTCTAGACAAAGCATGAGAAACGGTCGCCTGAGATAGCGAACAACAAAGTCTCTAAAATCAACAGGAGTCTCCTCCAGCTTGGAATGTAGCGCCCAATTCTTGGTTTTGAACCGAAGTTGCCGGGCCTTTCTCTTCAGGAGGACGGGCACGTAGGTTTCGGGCAAGACCAAAAGCCCAACTGCGCCGAATACGACACCCATTATCATCGAGAACCAAGCAGTCCAGCGCCAACCGAGGGAGCTTTGTACCACGACTGCCCCGATGATGGCACCGGCAGAAGGACCGATCAGGGTGGTTGCAGCGAAGATGGCGACTGCAACCCCGCGCTCGATGGGAGGAAAGAAATCGGCCAGATATCCGCCCACAATGGCTGGAGATGCTGACGAGGCAACGCCGCCGAGGAAGCGGAAGAGCAGGACGGTCTCCACATTCGAAGCCAGTCCAACGGGAACTTGACTGAGAATGAATCCCAGATAGCCGACAAAGAAGGGCGTTTTGCGCCCGTACAATTCCGACGCCGGGCCCATCAGAACCGGTCCTGTTGCGAAGCCAATAACGTAAAGCGATGTTGCCAGAGCCATGGTCTCGGGCGCCACTCCGAATTCCTGAGCAGTCACCCTGGCAGCCGCACTGAAAACCGAGCTTGAAAAGGTTGCTGCAAAGGTCATTGCTCCCAGGATGCTGGCGCAGAACCATTTTCTCCATGGCGGGAGATGCAGCGGATCCAAGGGGTCATGGGGGCCGGTTAAGACCACCAAGTGAGGATCTTTGCCCTGTTCAGCGAGTAGTGGTCGGCGCTCACCATCTGGGTCAGCGGCTTCGGTCGAAAACATCATTGCTGTCTCAACATCATGCTCGTTTACCTGCGGGAAGCGGATTTGGTTATGGCCCATGATGTGGCAAGTGAGACGACAGGTGAAAAGGAACAAAGACGAAAGTGTTGTGGCACACATCCCATCTGGATCACCTGTATACATAGACAGTATTTATACATTATTAGTAAGTCATTCACTTATGCAGGCCGCGAGGCCTAGTAGCAAGTACTGCCAAAATGTGCCAAAATTAACAGGACTTCTGTCCTACTGTCTGTCTGGACAGGATTTTATTTACCTTTTATTTGAAGACCATTTCTATTGTTCGGGGTATTTTAACTCCGGTACACTTGCGTGGTACTATACATAATCGACCCGCTGATCAGCGGGGCAGGGATTCATGCATGACAGGCAGATAGCAATTGTCGCCTATGGCCCTACTTGACAGTACAAATGCTAGGATTCCAACAACTGATTCAGCTACATCAACCACGTGATACAGATATTAGGATGGGGATCCTCAAGCTTCCTATCTACAGAAATGATGCTTTGGAGCCTTATGAAGTCGCGCCAAGTGTCTCTTTGCCAGCAGCGGCAGGGTGTCCATTTGAATCAAATTGAGTCAAATAAACCAAATCAAATCCGTGCTTTCATCAAATCAAATCAGGACTTTAGATTTGACAAATTAGTCAAATGGAAGTCTTGGCGGAAAAGTAATTTATTTTGAAATATTCAGGGTTGTTTTCGAAGAGAAAGTCTTGGCAGACTCTTTTTGTGAGGTGAAATTACGAAAGGCAGTCCTCTTAACAAAATATTGCTTACTAAAATTTGACTCTATTTGACAAATGAGTCAAATCAAATCAAATCGGCCTCTGGGACTAGGTAAGCAAATCAAATAGGGGTCAAGATTTGGTTTATTTGATTTGATGGATACCCTGAGCAGCGGTTATGTGATGGCCTCGGCGAAGCTGAGACTGGCCACTGAGACTGACTGATCAGCTGACCAGCTGACGCTTCCCATTCTACGCAGCTGCTCTACCTCAGTGCGAAAATAAAACACCAAAGATAATACCCCCTGGAAGGTTTTTACTTACATCGCCATTCCGTCAGACCAAAACGACCGCGGCGACTAACGTTATTTTTGTTCAACACCATCTCACCCAATATACTCCGCATACTCTTTCCACTCCTGATCCATCTTCAACGCCTGTACATCCGCCTCATTCAGGCACATCAGCACATCAAAGTCCCCGGCTTCCGTCTGTGACCAGAAGTATACACAACTCTCCAACGGGTGGAAGTTAGGACGTCTGACCAGCTCCGGCTTTCCCAGAATACCAAACTCAGCGCTGTATAACTCCACGTGTGCCAAGGATGAGAGCCCAATATCTGTGTCTGGGTTGAAGCTTCCCCCAAACATGATGCTGGACTTATCTGGCTCGTTGGCAATGAATGTGACCCAGCTGCGTACCGAATATTCGTTGTTCACGTCTCTTGCGGTCCTGCGCAAGATCGATGCAACCGTACCCAATGACGCCTTTTCAAGCTCCCTGAAACTGAGCCTGCATGTAGCATTGTAGCCCATCTGGCCCATGTATTCTTTGGGAATCTGCATCGCGCGCCGGGCATCGAGGGCGCGGGAGAATTTTGACAAGTCATCAGGTCGTTGGCGGCGATGTAGACGGACCGCGCCGACCCTTTTCCAGCAAAAGGCGCTGAGAGTGTCGTTGGTAGAAACGAAAGGAATTGAAGGGTCGCATCCTCCGCGACTGATATCGTCATTAGCGAGACCTTTGAGTTGTGCCAGCTTTGGAGCGGAGAAGCGGAAGCAATACCACGCTGCTGGAGGCCGTGAGGTCGTGGGAGATTGCTGTTGGCTTGGATACTCTGATAATGGTGGACGTCGGAGATGGCTGTGGTCCAGCATTGGCTCATTGGGACCGAGCAGTGGAATCAAACTTCTGCGATCTCGGTTCCCTTGCTGGGTCTCGAAATCTGAAAACTCCTCGCCACGGATGGCTTTTGCGAAAAGCCGCATACATTGGAAGAGACCCCCGCCGTCTATGAAATTGTGCTGGGCGGCTGCGTCTAAGAGAATACCGCCTTGAATAAAATTGGCCTGAATCACTAGGACTGGTGCTGGTTCAGATTCAGATTCTTCGTATATCTCGGGGAAAGCCTTGACCGGGCCAAGGATCTTGCCGTCAAATAGGGGGAAAGGGCCTCGGGCTTGAGTAATCTTCACGTAGGAAACGCAGACACGGGAACAGTCTTTGACGCGTATGACGGTATTAGGAGCCGCGAACAACGAGCACGGGGCCAATTTGAAGGTACCGGAGTTGCCAGGTCTACTGCCTTCATTGATGACTTTGCTAGCGAGCCAAGGAAAGGTGGATGTGAGCTTCAATGCCGCAGTCTCCAACAATTTGGCGACAGAATCCCTAGATACGCCCTCTGGCATGGGAAAACATAAGAGGACGTGGGTATATGTTTTTAGTCGAGATAATTGTCCAATGACATCTTGATAACGCGCAAGATCATTCATGATGGAGCAAGGTGGAAGGGCGGAGCCGATCCGGATATAAAGAAAAGTGATGGATGCTTCGTCGGATTGGTGGCGGATTATGGCTTTCCAAGCGATTATACCAAAGCCCCATTCTAGCTTGCAATTATTGTCATATTAAATTGGATCAAAACTTGCCTTGTGCATTGTGCCGCCCAACTGACTTTAGCGAGCCAGACACGAAGAATCAACACCATGCTGTGAACATGCTACGTGGTTCGAGTAGAAAGAGCAGGTTGCTCTATCTATTAAGAGTAAAGAGCGTAGATATGCGTACAAATTGGCTGAACGGTATAGCCAAATTAGCGGCGGAATTACAGTAGAAATCGACCAATCAAATGCGGGCAAATCACAGGGGGAAAAGGCCAACAAAATCAACCAATCAACCAATCAACCAATCAACCAATAGGCCCTCACGAAGTTCAACACATTCACTTTCCAGGACTATCTGCCCATGACAGGACTTCGATCCGCAATTCATCAGAGCCAACATTTGGAGGGTATCTGTCATACCCCTGTCATACCCCCCTGTCATAACCCCCTGTCATACCCCCCGGTCAAACGCCTTGTCATACCCCCTGTCATACACACCCTTGGTTGGCCGGACAACTATCTATATTTACTCGGCTCGGACTATCTTGCGGAGTAACAACTTCAAGTTGAAAGTACTACTACTAGTAGTAAGCGAATGTATGGTCTTGGCGCTGAGAGTCTCATCCCATCCCAAATCCTCCAGTGGCAATTTGAAATCTAGCTGATACAACCACACTTCCACTACACTACTCCACCACAAGATGCGAATCAGCTGCGTCATGGGGCCTACTGGATAAGGTGGAAAACACGCAGTCATAAGAACGGAACATCCTACTCCATCACGGTGGCTGCTTTTAGCACCAACTGAGGAACCATTCCAGCCCCTAATCTAGTATGGCATCGATATTTACATTGAATTGTTTCAGAAACAATAAGGCAACAAAGGGTCCCACAAGAGGATGCGCGGGCAACCTTACCGATCCAGCTTGGGACTATTGTTTCTGCTAGCAATACAACAACTCGAGCAGCTGAGGGTGTTGGATGGCTATTGAGCGCCACGCTGTGATGAGCTTGTGTTGGATGGCTATTGCGCCGCGCTGTGATGAGCTTTCCTTGGAGTGGCGTTACTCGTTTCCTACGGGATCAAACAAAACACAAGCAATCAAATGGAAGAACCACAGTTGTGTTCACATAGGGAGTAATATACTTCAGCGGAGCTCAGAGATGGGAGAAGTCAGCCACGATAGAATAAGCTATAAGGGGGCCAGGTCCCCAGATCTTTTTTGATCGGCATTGTTCGGTTTCTCTATACGTGTTGGATATCCATTGCCAACCATGTTTTTCCACGTTGCTTTCCTCTTCATTCTTCCTCTTTTGGCTGCCTCATACCATCAAAACGCTAGCGACATCCACGCGTTATTTGGGCCCAGCCTTTCTTCTGAGGCTGAGATTTTGTTGCCCTCCTATGCTAACTACACTGAAGAGGTGCAGCAGCGATGGTCCAGATGGGCAGAACCTTCCTACATTGGTGCCATCAAGGTTGCAACCGTTCAAGATGTCCAAAACATTGTAAGCAAAGTCACCAAGGATCGAAGATTTGGTTAAGGCTGCACTAAGCGAGACTTAGGTCAAAATAGCGAGTGCGAACAAGATACCATTCCTTGCGACTGCTGCTGGACATGGGGCCTCACTCACCTACAGCGCCGTGCATGATGGCATCGATATCGATCTCAGCTATCTGAGATATGCAAACCTAGACGCACCGAATAATCTTGTCACCATTGGCGGAGGAACCAAGTTTCTGGAGGTTTGGGATGAGCTGCAATCCGCTGGGAAGGAAATCCGTACGTTTCCCTACACACCCCAGCGCAAGACGTGGCTGACGTTTAGGGCCAGAAACCGGTACAGCTTCATGCGTTGGCACACTTGGCGCGACCTTAGGTGGTGGAATTGGCAACCTCCAAGGCCTTCACGGCCTGATGATAGACGCGCTTGTATCCGTGAAACTAGTCACAGCCAGTGGCGATCTTATAACGGTATCAGGCCAAGAGAATGCTGACCTTTTCTGGGGTATCCGTGGGGCAGGCTTTAACTTTGGGATTGTCACAGAGGCAACCTTCAAAGTTTACGATACAACAAATAACGGACAAGTTATGGAAGGTGATCTCTTATTTCCTGCCAGTGCAAATCGCTCAATCTGGGAGATCATCAAGTCCTATGATGATACGCTTCCTGCCGAGCTCTCGTTGGTAACCGTCGTGACCTATAACAGAACAGCTGGTGAGGTGAGTTTGTCTTTGAGATCTCCCCCAACTGGTCGGCTGCTGACGATAATACTTTTTAGCCGAGAATTATTTTGAATGTCGTCTACTATGGCCCGCAGGAGGAAGCCATGCCCTATCTAGAACCCTTTTTGGAACTCAATCCGCTCCGAACCAACATTACTATGGTCCCTTGGAATAGGCTTTACGCGGCCCTCTTTTTTGCCGCCCCATCAACGGCATGCTTGGAGAATCAGTACCTCAACATTGCTGGTCAAGGTCTTAGGCAGACTGATGTGTCTACCTATGAATCATTCTTCGCTGACGTGGCAACTTTTTACCGTCAGCATCCGGAGATCAACGGAACCTTTGTTGCTTCCCGATTCCCAAATCAAGCCGTGTTGGCGGTCCCGGATGAGGAAACTGCATATCCATATCGTGATATTAAGATGCACTTGTATGTGAACCCTTTTTTCATCATCCCAGCCAGTAATGTCCTCCCTACATTTTCTCACTAACAGCCAAAATACGACAGGCTTTATCAAAACATTTATCCCAACAATTCTACTCTGGATCAGATCGTCGATTCCTTCCTGGTTTCATCGCGCAACAAATTCCAGACAACGAGTGGCTACGAAAGCTTTACAATGTACGGCAACTATGGCCATGGCGATGAAGGCCCTGGGGTGTGGTATGCACCACGAAAGCTCAAACGTCTCGCACGTCTGAAGCGGAAGTGGGATCCGGATCAGCTTTTCAATTTCAACAATCCCTTGCCGCTGCACTGGTCATGATATTGTGGTGTGCTGATCTTTTATCTTGACTACTGGGTACGAGTATAATCTGCCTGAAGATCGATCTTTGTCACATCGTACTTGACAGTTCCTACATCCTGGGCACATGTGTTTTTCTGGTATGTACAATATACATCGCAAGTTTCCTGGTTATGAGAAGTGATCAATATTCTAAAGAAGATGATTCGGGAGGATTTCGTTCTGGAGACTGGAATCAGATTAGAATTATTGGCGCAAGCATAATACATCTTTTACAGAAATTTGTGAGTAGCTTCTCTTGTTAACCTGTCAGTGACCACATTACCACGTATTGGGTTTCTACCCTGTCTGAAGAGCTGAAGCTATGACGGATAATAAGCAATATCAGAATCAAGACCTCCAGTCTTGATTTGGAATACCATTGCGGTTTTTGATCGGATTAAAGTATTTGTATTGTTTCATGAATATTACGGGAGGGGCGCGGCTTCATATTTCTCCGTAATAGTATTCTCGAGAGTACCAACAACCCTTGTTCAGTACGCACAAGACCAATCGGCGATGTGAGAGACCCATCCCACGCCACTTGCCCGACAGTCGAAAGAGAAGGAAAGACCTGCCGCATTCATCATTTGCCCTCAGCAACATAACCTCAAGCTCAAACCAGGCTAAGTATTCGTCTTTTTCTCGACCTACATCGTTAGTGAACTGCTTAACAGAGGCAATCTGGAAACGCTGTGGTTAAATCATAACACGCTTTGCATTGAGATTGAGCCACGAATTTACCGTATGTATTTGAAAGCTTCATTTTGGTTCTGGCACTTCAGATGTTTGCGTCTGTCTGGCGGATCTGAATCTAACCATTCCTGCGTAGATGACTTGGTCAGAGTCCCGCCCTGGTCACTATCAAAGGCGTATTGGAGAAAATGAGAAATTCATCAAAGCGATAGGAGATCGTGCCCATGCTTCAGGCCGCGAACACTGGTCAATCACCTCCCAAGCTTCATTCAAAGTGACCGAGCCTCTCCAAGGCGATGATTTGCTCACCAAGTTAAGCCGTGCATGGAAGAATTTGCGATTTGAACATCCCAGCATTGCTTCCACAGCAGAGGAAGAAACGCTGAATTACGTCGTCCCAGACACCAACGCGCTCGACAGGTGGGCCAACGAGACCTTCTTTGTCCACGACGAAAATATCAGCGCCGGCGATCTGATTGCTAGCTTCAAGCCATCCCCTTACATGACAGCTCACTATATACCAAAGAGTTCTCAGCTTATCCTGCATACAGCACATTGGCGTACAGACGGCTTTGGTGCGTTGCAACTACTCAACGCCTTCTTTGAGGCATTTTGCGCCGCCACGTCAGGTCGAGATCCCTCCAGCCTACCATGGGGCGAGGAGGTTGGCCGACTGGTCCCTAGCGTCGAAGAGGTCCTCAATCTGCCAATCACTGTAACACCAGAAATAAAGGCCACAGCAGATCGGTACATCTCTACTCTTGCCCACGTAACCGGCGCAGTTGGTGTATCATACCTTGGAGACAAGAGCACCTTACCCTCTGGAACTCGGAGCGCACGACTGACCCTCTCTCAACCCACGACAAGGGCAATTTTTGAAGCCTGTAAAGCACGTGATATCAATGTACTCTCCGCAGTTCATGCCTCGGTCGCTGCCATCACCTTCGCCGGTGCGCCAGCAGATTCAAAGCACAAACACTACACCAGCACCATGCGGTTCAGCCTCAGGCCATATCTGCCAGAACCATATAACACGCCTCGATTTGCATCCGGCCTGTACACCGGAGGCTATATGTTCAGGATACCAGCCTCGCAATCTTGGACTGAAAATACCAGACGATACAACGACGAATATCACCTCGGCGTGACAAGGGAGTTTTTGCTGGCTCGCAGACAATACGCGCTTGATGTGCAGAGCCTACTGCGAAAGAATCCGCCTGTCGATGGTCCGCCGCCGAGCGAGGTCGATATCTCCAGTGTGGATGATGCGGAGTTGCTGGTATGCCCTGTCCACAAAAGCGGAGAAGAGGACGGAGGATCAGTGGAGATCCTGGACGTAAGTATTGGCGTGGAAACCCTAACGCGGCAGATGTATTGTTTTGTCTGGACCTTCCGAGACCAGATGAAGTTCAACCTGGTTTACAATGAGGCCTTCTATGACGCCATCGTTCCTCTAGAGCTGTTGGCCAAGTTAAAGGAGGTACTGCAGACGGAATTGCACATCTAACCTTCAGCCCAAATTCTCATCTGGCGAAATGTGTTATGCACTGAGATGAGAGTAACTGAAATGGGGGTTTTTCTCTTTTGGCTAGAGGACCTTTTTGGCGAACAAGCGGGTGGATTAATCTTTCTATCACAGCCAAAGTAGTAGTTAGGGTCAACAATGGGCTTATCCAAAAATTATTTGGTTGGCCATCAACCCAGCTTATCGAGATCACGCATATCATACCAGAACTTCCCTCTTCGATAACCGGCAGCGCCCTCTCTGCACCCTTTCTCGATAACGCCCTTCTCCACCGTGACGATTGATGATGGAAATAGAGTTTGAGTACGGAGTACTTCTGCTGCCTACTCCAGTACTGCCCATTGCACAAGTGTTGCGAAAGCTTGCCGCATGCATTGGAGGAGCTGCTGCTCCACATAGATAGTTACAGAGAGCCAAATAACAACCTGGAGTGTTAAAATGTATATGGTGATGAAGTGGGTGATCTGAATGCTCTCTATCTGCAGAGGACAAGGCTAATCTAGTGTGCGGCGTGCGGAATCACGTGACAACGGCCTTGGCGTTAGGCGCGGCCTGCCACTGCAGTGGCCTACGAATTCCAACACCTGGTTAGTCAAGGCAAGCTTCTCTTGATTCTTTTAAACTAGTAGCTTTCAAGATATACTAACCTCTTTGGGAAGAAGTAAGTATGACGTTCACAAAATCGAATGTCCTTAAATCTATCTACATCAAAATCTACTGGTCAACAGTAACTGTTGATATAGATTCAAGCAGATTCTTACCGCGTAGCAAAGTATTTGATATGATTCGTTGGAGGAGGAGGAGCAGCAGCAGCAGTATTTTGGGTGCTAGATTATTTGCAACACTTTTGCAATGGGGAGTACTGGTAGTAAGCTAATCCGCCGCTTAAATTTACGGCGGACTATTAATGATTAACAACACATCACAAATTTTCCCAGTGACCCCACCTGTCACGGCTGCCATGCTTGTCGGCCGCTAGCGCTAGGGCCGCCGGGTATTGATTAGCACTACGCGTTAGTAAGGGGCATGCTCGCTATATAGGAGCGACCCCAGTGCCATCCTCGTCGGCTCTGCAGTCTTAGGATAGCACTCAACATGGGCTGAAGATCTCGCGCACTCGTCGCCTGCTTCCAACGTGACACGTGACACCACCAAATCAAGATAGAGATTCGTACGGAGTAGCAAACTCATCTTTACAAGATGCTTCTTTTAACTACCCATCTTTCGGTTGTCCTAGATGTTACATAAAAATAAAAGCTTCAATCTAGACCTCTACAGAATTCGTACGCAGAATCCTCCACAGAATCGGTACAGAATTCACACAGAAAGTACATATAATTCGCCCACAGGATGCACACAGAATCCGCAAAACCCTCAGAATTTCGTGCACAGAATCGTCCTTTACAGAATTCGTATACAGTATTTACAAAATTTGCAAAGTTTTCTGACTTTTTATTTCAAACGTTCTATACCAGCAATGTATGTACAGGATGTATACAACATCCAGATAAGAACTTCTACTTCTACGTAATATCTGGAACCTGTGGTCAAAAGGTGAAGCTAAACAAGTTCACTGTATGTGGAGTTCAGAATTTTGATATGTCGTCAACCCAATAATGATTAATAGTCCGCCAGATAAATTCCAGCAAAGAGAACTAGAGATAACTTTGTATGTGGTCTAACCAAAGGAGTCGTCGGACTCATATTTGATCACTCGTGGTTAGTGGGAAGCAAGAAGTCTAGATCTTAAAGGTTCGAGAAAGCCGCATAAACCTGATTACCCACGACCGATTAATCATATTCCAACCTCGAAAGCTGTTCTCAAAATTGACAGGCACCATTCAAAGGGTCGAAGATGCGATCTCCTGAAAAAATTTCGTCCTTGAAATAAAGGACCGTCAAAATTTAGCCTTTATCACAACAGTCTCCTTGTCTTCCACATTTTTTTCCACTTCCAGCCCCTAGACTTTTGAAGCCTCGTTCTCCTTGTTGCGAATATCCTTCCAGCCCATTCCCCACGCAAAGACAAAGCAGCAAACACCTGCGCTTGCAGTCAGATAGAATACACGGGCCACACTTTCCGCATAAGCCACCAACACATTGGCCAGATCATCTCCTGAGACGACGTTCCAGAACCCGGTCGCGCCAGCGGCAATTATGGTCTCGGGATCAACCAGAGGTGCATATTGCGCTATCAAAGAGTTCAGACTGTTGGTAAAAATCGTGGCAGAAAAGCTAAGGAACATGGCTCCGCCAAATGTCTGGCTGAACATGATCAGAGCCATGGCGATGGGGATTTGCTGGGGTGGGAGGGTATTTTGGACGGCGATGATGGGCTGCAAATCAGTATTACCGGTCAGCAGACGCAAGCAGAACACGAGGATTGATCAAAGAACAAGGCGAAACCTACCATCTGCAGTCCGACCCCGCCACCAGCTCCTAAGAGGATCTGGTAACCAATCCACCTTCCTGTTGAGGTGCCTGGGGTAAATGTAGACACGAGACCATTCCCAATAGCTAGGAGCACCCCGCTGAGGAGACTGAATGGAAGATAGTAGCCTAGCTTTCCAACTGTCTGGTTGTCAGTAAAATCCCACTATACCTGGAGTGTATATGTCATTACCCAGTGTCCCGGCGCCGATGGCAAGGAAAAGCTGACTCAGAATCATCGGAAGGAGATAAACACCACTGAGTGTCGGAGACACGTCCTTGACCCCTTGGAAGTAGATCGGCAGATAATAAGATGTTGTGAACATCTGGCTCATCAAGAAACCATATACCAAGCTACTCGCCCACACAGTCCTCTTACCGAGCATCGGCAAGGGAATCATGGCCGCATCACCCTTGTAGTACTCCCACGCTACAAAAACAACAAATGTGGCGCCTGCACCGCAAAAGAGTCCGATGATGGTCGCACTGTTCCATGCGAACTGATTGCCACCATACTGGAGAGCGAGCAGCAATTGGATGGCAGCCGGTGCAAAGATTGCGAAGCCAAGGAGATCAAGCTTTTTCGGGAGTGTGCGGAAAACCGTTAGGGCTTTGGGCTTTGCGACCGGCCTAGGGACTTTGACGAAAAAGAGCGCTGCCGCAACGAGGCCACCAATGGGCAGATTTATGTAGAAGCCTTAAAAGTGAGGTTTCATTAGACAAGGGCAAAAGCAAGGAAATAGGACGATGACCTACACCACCGCCATGTCGTGTACTCTGTGAATGCTCCTCCAACCAAGGGCCCAACGACCAGACCGAGTTGTGAAACTAGTCGACTGGTAAGGTGACAATCATGGGCACGTGATAGGGACTTGGACCTTACCACCCATGACAAATCCAATCAGAGCTGCCACAGCCTCTTAATCAGTGGAACAGCAAAACAATTGGGGAACTTACCTGGTCGTTTCGGCATGGGGACGCATTCAGCAATGATGGTGAAAGCACCGTTCTGAATGCCCGAAGTTCCCATTCCTGCCACTGCTCGCCCCACAATCAACATTTCCGAGGATGTAGCCACGCCGCAGAGGAGGGAGCCCAATTCGAAGACGGCGAAAAAGGCAAGGAAAGTCCACTGGAGACAATCAGCCAGTTTTCCAGGTGAAAAAAATGAGAGAAGGGTAATGAATCTGCTGACCTTGGAGTCGAAGTTGACGTACAAGCTTCCCGTCAGGGGGAGAAGAGCGGCGCTGTTACCAATGTCAGCCAGTCGCTTCGCCATCAAACTTGGGACAGTCTATGCACCTTGCCAGCTGGAAAGCACTACCATACCAACCCACATCCTGAAGTGAGCTGAAGTCGCTCGTAATCTGGGGAATGGCCTACGGAAGATCTTGTTAGGTAAAACAACGTTCCTTTTTCAGAGCTGTGGCAATTTACCGTAACAATGATAGATATGTCCAGCAACATGAGAAAACACACGAGGCATATAGCACCCATGATGGTGATGAGCGGGACGCCAGTAACCCATTTGTGCTCTTCCTCAGTTGAGACTTGATCAGTTGGCTGTTGCTTGACATCATGGGTATATTTCTGTGAAGAGTCGTTTGATGGAGCTGTAGAGTGTTCCTGCTGCCTGACTGGGTCTGCCTGCTCAAGGGAATGCTCCCGCGATGTAGAGGTGGCCGTTGTTGATAATGCCATTTCGTGGAGTACTGACACCAAGATCGACCTGGGAGAGAGAAGTGGATGTTGAACCTCAATCGGCCACGAGTTTTGATGGGAGTGCACCAGGGGCATTAAGCTTTTATAGGAGCTAACATCTTTTCAGCGTTTGTAAGCAACAATGACAGGTTGGCGAGCTTGCCAATCATCACAACCAGCACCGAACCGGATTTACCTGGGTTGCTTAAACCCCTAAACCCGAAGAATGGCCCCAAATCCTACCGTAAACCCGAGGCGCCTCTCAAATCCTTCTTTAGTGAGTGAATGCCCATCACATATCCCAACATTTGGACCGTTCTCATCTGTAACTACCGGCCAACACAGATCTAAACGAATCTAGATCAATGATGACATTGACGCCTTCCATCACTAGCTTTCTAGGCCAACAAGCCGCAAATTACGCACCCGCCTTCACACTTGCAAACTGGTACTTTGCTTACTGTACGTTGAGCCCGCGGTTTGCCAAGATGGCGGTTGGACTCGACCACAATTCAGCGCCACGAGAAGACCTCTCCAAGTACGGCGAGGCAGCGGTGCAGACAGGGAAGCTGAGCCGGCGGCGCCTGGAACAAATCAAGCGGCTGCAGGCGGCTCACGAAAACTCCGTTGAGGGTTTCACGCTGTTTGTTGCGGCGGGTAAGTGATCCCATCGGTGACCTCATATTTTGAAATGGTTCTGCAGTCTGACTACATGCCCAGTCCTCTTTGCCACACAGAGTGCTGTCTCCAATACCGCCATCAATGGCATCTGTATCTGGTATACGCTCTCACGCGTCGCATACAGCATTGCATATGTTCTGATCGAGTCGGAGCGGCTGAGTATTTTGCGGTCGGCAATCTGGTGGTCGTGTAACGCGAGTTGCATCACTGGCCTTATCCTGGCCTGGAGAGCAATATAGGTTGATCTCAATGCGATTGCAAGCGCCCCTTGCATCAATATCGGAATTTGTCAACAAACACCTTTTCCAGATTGTGCATAAGTGCCAGCGAGAAGGTTGTCTGCCTGCGGCTGAAGCCCACATACTACTAGTACGTAGTAGCTCTGCGTCCTAGCTCTAAGTAGTAGTACTCGTACGTACTAACCTAAAGTACACCTCGTGTGTTACTAGCAGTATTAGTGGTGTGCGCTAATGAGGGTCCAGCTGCGGGTAAAGTCCCCCTCCGTGTGTTCCTAGTACCTCCGCATTAAGCTCAGAGGTTCAGCGGCCCGATAACGGGATACAGCTGATAGCTAGGTCCCGTTTAGAAAAGAGATACATCAACCACTCAGCCAAAAGGACAGCGCTTGTGGGTTTCGAACTACACTTAATTCATGTAGCTCTTACTGACTGTGTTGGCCGTCGCCCGCTATTACACTTGCAGGCAATGGTGGCCAACAACTAGCGTGAAGTCGCGTAAACTCACGTACTACATAAAGTAAAGTGATATAGCCTTTGACATCTGTGCAGCACGAGGAAGAAAATGGCTCTGTTCGCTCAAAAAAGCTGCGCAGGGCGCCGAAATAAGTACAAATTTGCTGTACGGCACAGCGAAATTAGCCGCGAAATTGCAGTAGAAATTGACCAATCAAAACGCAGGGATAACGCGTATGACACGCGGCCAATGAGCGCTCCTGCCGTTTGACAACATCTTACTGATGATTTGATACTGCAATCATCATCAAAATAGTAGAATGCTACTTACCATCAAAGTTCTAAGGACGACTACCGGGTGTCCAACCCGCCCTCAAGTTACATGGCGCAGATCATGGCGCTTGCTCCAATCAACCCAAAAGGGAAGGTTATCAGCTGTAGGATTATTATTATGACGTTACGAGTACGATAATGATTAATGCTACGCCACACAGGTTCTTTAAGCAGTTGGCTGGATCCAGAAGGAACTTCAAAACCTGCAGCCTTAGAGCTGAGCAGGGGTTATGCTTATACAACTACCGAAAGGATTCTGGAAGTCTTAGAAAGCCCCTCATTTTTGGGTTTCAAAGGCGGGATGCCTGCACCATGAATTACAATATCTACCATTTCTTCAACCCCGATTGCATTAGTTAGCAAACTTGACTTAGGCTTGCCTAGTATGTTTTGGCTGCGTGTACAGGTTACACTTGGGTGATACAGTTGTATGGACATTTTGTGTCGGCAAAATTGCAGTACAGTCTCCGCATATGCCCATAACATACGAGACAAAGAGTAGAAAGATGCTCTCCCCCACATCCACCGATAAGGCATCTCCTCCACAGTCAAGGCAGAAGCCCGGCATCGCCTGCGAAGAGTGCCGACGACGGAAATTGCGATGCGATCGGCAGCAACCTCAGTGTGGTTGCTGCGCAGACTCCGGTCTCGTGTGTACCGTCTCATCCTCTCGGCCCTCCCGGGGCCCTAAAAGAGGGCATCTGAAAGTTTTACAAGCTCGAATTGGTGCAGTTACTTCCCCTCTCTAGGGAAGATTGATGGAGTATGGGGCTGACGTCGCGATGCTTGGTAGCGGCACTCGAGGGACGTCTTGTCCGCCAGCAGAATGCCGCAAGCTTCGACGATCTGGTCGACGAGACCGTAGCGGACAACATCTTGACTGAAGACCTAATCCAATCGCCATCTGGCATTCCTACCCCCGACGATGAGGCCCATTCGCAAGGTCCATTCCTGGGTATGAAGACAGTCGACTCGTTGACCGGCTTGCCGGAGACCTGCATTTCGGATTTAATGCAGGCTGACCTGTATGTCCCCCAAGAATTCTTCAGTTAAGAGTAAAAGGAAGAGAAGAAAAAGGGGCAAGAGGAATGTTCATCCAAAGGCTTGACCCTCTGACTGCGTGTAGAACTCAATTATATTTTGATCGGGTGCATAGCTTCGTACCGATTTTGCACCAGCGCCGGCATCACTCCTGGAATCGCCAGCCGGCCAAAAGCGAATCCCGGACATGTTTGCAATATGCCATGTGGACCCTAGCGGCATCAGTATCGGCCCAATTTGAAAACGTTGGAGATTCTCTATATCGAGACACTCAGCGTATGCTCGAGGTCGTCGAATCCAAAGCCACCAACATCGAGTCGATTGATATCGAGCAGGTTCAGGCCTGCATTTTATTGGCGATTTATGACCTTATGCGTACGGATTATCGCCGAGGGTGGATGACGGCCGGGCGTGCGTTTCGTTTAGTGCAGCTGATGCGCCTTTACGAAATTGATGTGCCAAATTCTATGGCGACGCAGACTGACTGGATCGAGACGGAGGAGAAAAGAAGAACATTCTGGATGGCCTACTCACTAGACCGGTTCATCAGCATCCGAAATGGGGGGCCCTTGACGTTAAGTGAACAAGTGGTAAGTGTGCTTTGACTGACCGAGTCCCGCTGATCTGTATTGTTCAGATCGTGATCCGTCTCCCTGCGCCAGAAATGGAATTCCAAAGCGGTCAGCCCACTCTGGTGGGATTTCTGTCGGAAGCCATTACTGCTGATGATCAAAGCGCAATGTCGCCCTTCACAGAGTGCATTATCTTGGCAACCATTAGTGGGCGCGCTTTGTCGCACCGACATCAGTCCCTGGTCGAGAACGTTTATGGCAATGTATCTCAGGATTTCTGGGACCGGCATCAGTGGATTAGTACCATCCTGACACAGAGAATCCAGATCCTGTCGCTCAAATATCCGCATGCTTCGCAGCATGTGGATCCAATGCTGCTGTTCACGAGCATGGTAGCGCAGACGACTGTGATTTATCTCTATCAAACCATGAAGTGTGTAAGCCCAGCGACCGCTGAGAACGGAGCCGTCAGAATGGAGTATGAAAGACGTTCATTAGTGGCTGCGCAAGAGATCGTTTACCTAACAAAGACGTTAGCCCAGCTCAGTCGTTTCAAGGCAAGACCACTCGATTTGCTCCTTAGCTGAGCCTCTACTCACAAGCCAAACAGATACATCCGTTCACGCCAATCCCATTATCCCTATGTGCCGAGTTCATTAGTTCATACCGCGATCCCGACCACTCGTTTGATGTGCAACTACAGCATATCCTCAAGGCGCTTCGCAGCATGAAAAGTTTCAATAATCTCGCCCAGGACTTGTTGCATTTTTTTGAACTGAAGAGCGTTGATGGCTTGGGTCAAGCTTCTGGTAATAACTCGGACCATTAGTTTGGATGCAATAAGAGCGGGCAAAGATTGTGCTACCTATTTAGACAATAGACATAAAATAGAGACCCATTCTTTCTTTGAGCATGGCTAGTGTGGGACCACTTCTGCGGTTTTCTTTTGATGTCGCATTCAGCAGCATTGTCAGCTGCCTAATCATCTCACTTGACCTTGCATATCGCCGAAAGCGGTTTGGCGTCTCCGTAGATCGCTGGCTGCAGGGTTAGAGATGGATATTGAAGGCTTTCTGTAGTAGATGTACCCGTCTATGTCGATTTATTTATCTCCCATGAAAATCGCCAAAAAGGATATAATTCTCCTTTGCTCTATCTAAAAACGCATGGCTGCAAGTCTGTGGTCTGCTTTAGTGGATCACCTGCCCAAGACAGTGATCGTGAACACTTTCTGGATGGAATGCAGGAGACGCAAGGAGGCGCAACGAGGCGAAAGTAGACCCTTGTCAGCACGCCCGCGTGACAGGTGCTCTGGAAACTAGTTCTCTGGAAAATGGCAGAAAATAACTGAATCTCAAGTCCCGAGCAAAGACTCCGTGTATAATTAGCGTCGGAAGCAGTAGATAACCGACGTAGTACAACCCGGAAAATATAATGGTGGAATTTGACGAACAGAACTTCCGAGAAGCCAGCACATTCGAAAAGTTGGCACTAGTTAAATAAAGACAAGCTGCGCATCCTCAAGTTTGTCCTTTAGCTCCGCCTACATGCATGCTATACGTACGGCCCTCTTCAGATATAGGGACAAGGTAGCTAAAGTTACATGACTTGACCATGGGTCCTCGGAAACATTCCCGCGGTCCTCAGATAGCCGGGGTCCTTTTGGTCCAATACTACTCTTTTGTATTCAGCGTACGCTATCGACCATCAGGAAGACTGCATTATGCTTACAGCTTAACTGCATCTAGAAATAGGCCTGCAGCCCAGCAGGATCCTCCTTTTCCGCCGCGCACTGACATCTTGGTCAGCATTCAAAATAATACATCTTCCTCTGTCATATCCCACACATCTGCTTCTACCTCCTGACCATACACAGAGCTCATTGCCTTGACTACCTACTCTTTTGTTACAATTCAGAGGTGATCTCTATATGAGCATCCACTGATAGAAAGTGGGCGGCATCATGGCGGAAGAGAAGGCTATCGAAATTGCCATTATTGGCGGTGGCATTGCCGGCTTGACCCTTGCCTTGGGCTTGCTCAGTCGCAACATCAATGTCAGAGTCTACGAGAGAGGACGTAGCTTCCGCGAGATCGGCGCAGGCATCGGCTTTACACCCAACGCTGAATGGGCCATGCGTGTATTAGACCCACGCATTCACGCCGCATTCAAGAGAGTTGCGGCCCAAAACGCCACGGACTGGTTCCAGTGGGTCGACGGATACAGTCAAAACGGTGCTGACCCAAGTGATGTTCATGAGGACCTTATCTATAAGATGTATCTTGGAAAGAGGGGTTTTGAGGGATGCCACCGTGCCGACTTCCTTGACGAGTTGGTCAAAATGATGCCGGAAGGAAGGGTGGAGTTCGACAAGAATCTCGCCTCTATCGACGACAGGTGTGACGGCGAAAAGCTTCTGTTAACATTTCGCGATGGGAGCTCAGAGGAGGCGGACGCAGGTATAGAGGCCTGATCAAACTGCCCACAGAAGAATGAGTACTGATTTGTGTAACCTTGCTCCAGTTATTGGCTGCGACGGCATCAGATCGCGGGTGCGCCAGCTGATCCTAGGTGAGGATCACCCAGCATCACATCCGGGATACACCCATAAATATGCCTTTCGCGGCCTAATTCCCATGGAAAAGGCTAAGGCGGCTCTGGGCGATGATAAGACGTCAACGCGACACATGCACCTTGGCATGAATGCCCATGCCCTGACCTTTCCTGTTGCCGGTGGCGCGCTTCTAAACGTGGTCGCATTCGTTACCGATCCCAAAGACTGGCCTTACAAGGACAAGTTAACAGCGCCGGCTGACAAGACCGAGGCCGTGGAAGCCTTTTCTAGCTTCAATCCCGCCGTGCGGGCCATCATGGACATGCTCCCCAGTAAACTTGACAAATGGGCCGTCTTTGATACTTATGATCATCCCGTACCGACATATGTGAGCGGTCGTGTTTGTATCTCAGGTGACGCTGCCCATGCTTCAGCACCGTACCACGGCGCAGGTGCTGGCTTTTGCATCGAAGACGCTGTGGTTCTGACGATGTTGATAGCTAGCGCCGCGAAAATGATGGCGCATAACTCCAGCAAGTGCAAGCCGGAGCTAATTTGTGCCGCTCTCGATACCTACAACGCCATCCGCCTCGAGCGCACACGATGGCTTGTGGAGAGCAGTCGATTCGTGGGCGAAATGTACGAGTGGCAGGATCCGAAGATTGGGCGTGATGCTGAGAAATGCGGCCATGAGATTGATTGGCGCTCTCACAAGATTTGGGATTATGATATCGATGCCATGGTCAGGGATGCTAACGGGGAGTACAAGCGGAAGCTGAAAGGGTGATCAACATGGATTTGTAAGGATCAATTCCATTTTCCGAGGAACAGAAATTGGAATACAACATTTTTAGACGGATGCAACGAAATATTGGTAGCGAGACATGCATCAATCCACCGGAACGAGGTCCTTTTGGAGGTTACGAGTCCCTTTTGGCTGGATCAACATACAGTCAGAGCTTCCCCAGGTTGAAGATAGTGAATCACAAAAGTGGTGTATGAACTTGCCAAAGGTGCAGCGAGCAGAATGCGTAGGCTGCGGAAACCGTCTGTCTCCGGCCGATCCGGATTGTGGTTTGGTTTAGTATTAGAACCCACCAGGTGTACCCAGAACCCGTCAAAGAACTGTATAATATATACTCGTATGATGGTCTACTCAAGATTGTAAATTCAAGTAGTAAAATCTATCCGAAAACTCGACCATTTGTTATTAGAATAAGGATTGACCTCGCCTCGGGCCGCGGCGATCCGAATCATTCCCAAGCCTACGTAGTAAAACGCACTAAGTGCAAGTCAGTTACAGCGAACCATTATTGCCACATCAGGAAATTTCAACATCAGTTGTTGAGACGCAAGACAGTCATGCATCACACTTAAATAGCTAAATGGCATAGGGTTTTTCTACTATGAGATTACTACTGCTCAAGTGTCATAGCAGCGTCTTATTCCACGCGCAGGCAGCTAACGTAGAAATGCGCCCTATTAGCGTCAAAATCTCTTGGCGGCATATAAAATTGGGATAGAAGCGTCAACGAGCTATTTGTTGTCATTTCTACTATGATATAGCTTGAAACAGGCTCCTTTTACTCATAGATAGATACTGCAAATCTTGCAGCCTCCGTACGTCCTTGATTTGCCATAAATATTTTAATGTTCTTCATGCTATGACTACAGCTAAATTATCACGCTAAATTACAGGAACGCTAACCCAAATAAGGTAGGATAATTTATTTAGTGATCTAGCGATACCCCTTACTAGTTAACATTTTCTAAGCATGCTATTAGATAGATCTTATCATACTCAAATCAGCTTGAGCTTTTACTCTTTCTATAACATCATACAGCTGTAGGTTATAAGAGGGATAGCAGTATATGCTGTAAGAGTAGACTTGGGTGGCCCTCTATGATGGCGATTTATGATTTTGATATAATGGTCCGCCATAGTCAGTAGAGGGTGGCTTGTGCATTTGCTATTTACGAAGCGCACTGTTGTTCATCTCGCCCGTGTTCTCATTGCCTCTTACCTATTGCCTAAAACTTGACAGCCCGTGTCAGTTACGGCGGACTGTTACGACCAAACGGCCAAT